TCAGTCGAAAAGAAATTAAGGTTTTTGATGAAAACATTCCAGGATTTTTCTCCATATAACGGACCTACATGGGAACCAGACGGTTCAAGGTCCAAATGACAGTTTCAGATGCAGCTTCAAATGTCTTTAAACGACACCAGACGATGAATAAGGGTCTTATCATGCGAAACGATCAGTTATTTCAAAACTTATTCCAAAAATGTAACTTTTCTAAGGACAAATGCTAGCCTTGCTCTATTCTGTGAGGCGTGTTTGTAACGTCACGTAATACGTAATTAAGTTCAAAAGGTCACGGGCGACGTAGCCACTCAGTCCTGCGGTGAGACTTCTCCTACGACAATCGTCAAAGTCTCTTGACCCATGACCAAAATTAATGTTAGAGATTTCTTTGTTGTTGCCATTTCATTCCTGCATGTAATGCAGCTTACTGTGAACATACGTGTCTTTGACGATTATGAAAAATCAAGACCAATTTTCTTGCCTGAATACGTTAAAAATAACGCCTCTGGACTGCCATAGTCTGACATTAACCGTGCGTGTCCACTGGCACGGAGCAAGCGTTTTCAAAACATTCCTATGGAAGTCAAGCTTCATGCTCGCGCAGTGCATTTTGGGATTGACGGTGGCCCGGAGAAAGTGCTGAGAGTGACCAAGAGCTTCAAAAAGTTTGGCCATTCTTGACTTTAAACAAATATCAAGTGAAAAACGTGGTCGACAGCCATTCGCTGTGAGGTTCGAGTTGTGGCGTCTGTCTTGAGATTTTAAAAATAGACAGATCGTGCCGTAGTTTATGCTGAATTTAGTGCGTAAATCGTTTTGTTTATGAATTAGAGACTTTACGGTTATTATATACGTTCAATATTTAATTTTGGATGTGTTCTTTGTGATTATATTACCGGTAAAAGTTTATAAAATTGAAAGGATATCTTGGAGCATTTGGAAACAAATGGTGCTTTTCCATTACCAGTACCAGCTCGACTCGGCTCGGCTCAGCTCGTTTCATTTTCCATTGCAGAGAGAGTACCTCCACAAATAGTACCCAGTCGTCATAGCGACACCTTTCATTCCTCGTTGCCCTATCAATCTCTCGCAGGATCCTCTCTTCGGCCAACAAACAAAGGAAAGTCTGCACCTCCTCGTTTGACCACGGCGTATTCTTCCGAGTTGCCATAATAATAGTAGTTAGTTTAGTAAGTATCTCTGGCCAAACTATTTTAAAAAGCGGGGTTATTCTGGATGACCATTGTGTGAAAAACCCAACAAAGGCGAGCTGAGCCGAGTCGAGTCGAGCTTGTACTGTGTAGCGGAAAAGCGCCTAAAGCTTGTGTATTTCCGAATGTAATCATGTGCCGTGCATCTCTGATTATATTGTTTGTGTGTTAAAAAAACATAGATTAAACACATTCGCAACAGAAGCGAGGCGTTATAGCATTGCCAGCGGCACTGAGAGGAGTTTTGCCGCTGTAGTGGACATGCACCGTAATGACAACTGAGATCTTACAGTGTGACTTGGCTTATAGCGATGATCATGTTCTTACAGTCTGAAAAGAAATAATCGTAAAGGACTATAATAAACCAGCTTTAGAAAAACTATGCCTGGACTAAAGTACAGTAGATGAGTGATGCCATGGCCCTGCTTCATTAGGCCATTAGACCATGCTAGGTCATTCCTTGAGTTCAATAACACAAGTTTAGCTTCTCAGCAAAGCATACCAGTACCTTCCTTTCAGCCTAGCCTTCCTAGACATATTCATCAAGTGCATGGATGCTGCTCAGACTCCTCTGCGACTCCAGAGCATTCTTGAACTCAACTACATAGACGGTTAATATCTAGCCCAGTCAGAACAGTTACCTCACCCACATAAAAGAGTTTGGGGCATAGGTTAAACCTCAAGGAGAGTGTGCTGCCACATGCATGTGTTGCTAGGAGTGCATCCTTACATGATGCATGTGCTGTGGCAGGATGGTCCTCTCTGCACACATTCAACAGTTTGAATGCAGATTGGATGGGAATCATTCAGGGTTGATCCAGCTTTAATCTGCGCTCAACACTTGTCTGTGCAGTTTACACAGCATTGTGGGGCAGGCTCTGTTCCTGTGGTCGGGCGGCGTTAGCATTGAAGTTCCCATAGCGTGAACACTGTGATGCAGTAGCAAAGTTCCACTTCAAAGGGGAACGTCTGAGGTTACGCATGTAACCAGGTTCCAAGATAAGGGGCCGAGACGCAATGTTGTGTTGCCACACCTCGGTTATGCCTGCGTGTCACCTTCAGAATTTGGCGCTGATGCTATGCTAAGTTGCAACTCCATACATTCAGCCAATCAGATTGCTGTGTTTAGACCGGCTCCATCAGGATCCTTCCCATAGCCTGTCCTCTCTCGTCCTTCACTGTTGTTGATCCTCCTTTTATGCTTCTGAAGCTCATCCTCCGTGAGAAACTGGAGACCGGTGCGGCGCGCAGGTTGCGCTCATTATCCATCACGCCACCGGTCTCACCGGTTCTCATGACACACAAGACTCCCCCAGACATGGCGGCCGCGGCACATGGCGGTAAGGACAGTTGAGGCGAAAGCAAAGGAGAGGAGTGAGAGAAGGGATCTGTGTGAAATCCTCCGCGGTGCCTGGCGGTGGCGCTGGATAGCCATTGGTGGACATCTGACTCCTCCGCTCAGCAGGAGTCGACCGTTCCCTGCTCCTCCCCATCATGGTGGATGACAGCGGGTTCCAGCTCCAGGCAAACGGCGGCGACTCCTCCGCTCCCTCACGGACAGCAGCCAACTCTCCAGCACCCCGCCGGCCGGCAGCGAGTTCGTCCAGCAACTCACTCCAGCGCCTCGATCGTCCATGGTGGCCGACTCTGCTCATCCACACTTGATGGCACCGCAGATTCCCCACAGCGGCGAGGGCTCCCTGACAGCGGGTTCCTCCAGGGTTATATGTGTACCGATGTAGCAAGGTTTGTTATTCAGGGAAGAAGGAGGTGGGAACTGGTACATCTTGTCCTTCACTGCCTGGCTCCTCCTTTTATCTCCCCGAAGCTCCACCGTGAGAGGCTGGTGTGGCCCGCTGGTGACACTCAATATCCATCACGCCACTGGCCTTGCCCCTTTCTCACTTTCATAGACACATTCTGTTTTTGTTCTGTCAAAGGAAACAGAACAAACCGCAGAACTGCTGCGTCTCCGAGCAACACTGTGTTTTGTTCAAGTGTTTTTGAACAAATCAGACAAGTAAATTATTCAATTAGACTATCCATTCATAAATACAGTTGCTTGTTTAGTTAAATGATTTTAGTTTAATAGTGAAAAACTCGACTATTATTTTATTTATTTCAGCCATTTAATATTTCTTTATTCTTCAATATTAAAACATTATCCCTTAACTTAATTTGTTCTATTTGTTCATAATGATGTTCTAGTTGAGGTCTTTTGTAGTGTAGGAAAGGACCATTGTAGGATATTATATCCATTGTATCCCAGTGTAAGATTCTCTGCAATCACCGTAAGTTCAAACTTGTTGAATACTGCCATAATATAATAAATATTTCAGTTATATACCTTCACAGGGTCACATTTGACATTTTTTTTCCATTTGTCAACATTAGTAAATTAACTATGAACTAACAATTAAAAAGAACCTCTAAAGCTCTATTTTTTACCCCCTAAAAATGTCCTTATACTCACCTAAAGGATTTTTAGGAACACCATACTAATACTGTGTTTTACCCCCTTTTGCATACAGTACTGACTTAATTCTTCCTGGCATTGATTCAACAAGATGCTGAAAGAAATTATTCTTTAGAAATGTTGGCCCATATTGATAGGATAGCATCTTGCAGTTGATGGAGATTTGTGGGATGCACATCCAGGGCACGAAGCTCCCGTTCCACCACATCCCAAAGATGCTCTATTGGGTTGAGATCTGGTGACTGTGGGGCCATTTTAGTTCAGTCAACTCATTGACATGCTCAAGAAACCAATTTGAAATGATTCGAGCTTTGTGACATGGTGCATTATCCTGCTGGAAGTAGCCATCAGAGGATGGGGACATGGTGGACATAAAGGGATGGACATGGTCAGAAACAATGCTCAGGTAGGCCGTGGCATTTAAACGATGCCCAATTGGCACTAAGGGGCCTAAAGTGTGCCAAGAAAACATCCCCCACACCATTACACCACCACCACCAGCCTGCACAGTGGGAACAAGGCATGATGGATCCATGTTCTCATTCTGTTTACGCCAAATTCTGACTCTACCATCTGAAATCGAGACTCATCAGACCAGGCGACATTTTTCCAGTCTTCAACTGTCCAATTTTGGTGAGCTCTTGCAAATTGTAGCTTCTTTTCCCTATTTGTAGTGGAGATGAGTGGTACCCGGTGGGGTCTTCTGCTGTTGTAGCCCATGCGCCTCAAGGTTGTGGCTTCACAAATGCTATGCTACAAACCTTGTATTTAACGAGTGGTTATTTCAGTCAAAGTTGCTCTTCTATCAGCTTGAATCAGTCGGCCCATTCTCCTCTGACCTCTCGCATCAACAAGGCGTTTTCGCCCACAGGACTGCCGCATACTGGATGTTTTTCCCTTTTCACAGCATTCTTTGTAAACCCTAGAAATGGTTGTGTGTGAAAATCCCAGTAACTGAGCAGATTGTGAAATGCTCAGACCGGCCCGTCTGGCACCAATAACCATGCCACGCTCAAAATTGCTTCACCTTTCTTTCGCATTCTGACATTCAGTTTGGAATTCAGGAGATCCACAACCCAAAATGCATTTAAGCAAATGCCATGCTATTGGTTGATTAGATAATTGCAATAATGCGAAATTGGTGTTCCTAATAATCCTTTAGGTGAGTGTAAATATAAATGTGCATGTAAGCAAGCACAGACACAATCATATTACTAGCATTGGAGTCAAAATCAAATCCATTGGATTATTGTGGGACTTTGTAACAGAAAGATTTCACCACAGCATGTTAGAAAGGCCACCAAAACAACATGGTTTACTGGAATTATTTTATCAGCATAAGAAGTTTCAAAACAAATCCATATGGCAAAATATTGAGTAGGAATAACAAAACCATTTCAAACTACACCATGATGTAAAAAAAAAGTTAAAACGGTACAAAACTGAGAGTATCGATCCCTGTACATTTTCCTCAATGTGTCAGAAATTCTGAAGATCTGCAGGATGTACAAAATTATTTCTGAAGAGTCGGTAAGCCATGAGTTGCCCTCCAAAAATCATCATCAGTAACCCAGAGCCTAAAGGAGAGAAGACAGACGTACACTTATCATCCCATTACGTACAAGATGAGTGATTTCACAAAAACGTCTCGGTTACGTATGTAACCCTCGTTCCCTGACTAGGGAACAGACACGTTACGTCGAATGATGACGCAATGGGGTTTCGCTTAGAAAGTCTATCAACTTCGAGTATTACAAAATGAGGCAATGGCAAAGAAATACACATATGACCCAGGAGGGGCTGCATATGGAGAAACACTGGGGTGTCCAGCCCGCAGGGTGGAATGTTTCAACCCCAGGAGTGGCAAGGTGGCGTGCCAAGGGAAAGACACATGCTCGGAGAGGCTTACAGTGGAAATACACATGTGGGGGTCACCAGTGGGGAACCAAGCACATAGAGGCTCCTAGCCCATGCGAAAGCTGCCGCAGACATAGACTCTGGCATTGACGTCAACAGTGCTGGAGGAACTCAGGGCTTGTGGGAAAGCTCAGAGCTTGTGGGAAAGCTCACCTGAGTAATATATCTCATGTATCCAGTCTGTAGAGTGGAATGGCGAGCAAGCAAAGACACCTGGGCGGGTCCAAGTACTGGCTGGTTGAAGCGAGCACATGGAAGGACACTGGTTCCACTCGGAGATTGTAGAATCTGGTGAATGTGTTGGGTGTCGCCCAGCCTGCAGCTCTGCAGATGTCTGTTAGCGAGGCACCACGCGCTAGAGCCCAAGAGGTAGCCACACTTTTGGAGGATTGGGCTTTCGCACCAAGGGGGCACATTCGACCTTGCTGATGGTGTGCCAAAGCAATGGCGTCCACTATCCAGTGAGACAACCTTTGCTTTCATAGAGCTTTCCACCACAACAGACAATGAATGAATGAATGAATAATTTTTTTTTATTTCTTTTCATTTCCCTTTCCTCTTCAGAACATGGTCATTGATAACAGAGCATATCCAAACAAAAAATAATAAAAACAAAATCTCAGCATGTTCAAAAGAGAAGAAAAAGAATATAGAAAAAAAAGGAGAAGGAAGAAGCTAACTTATGTTTTCCTTCCCCATTTACAAATCTGGATCAAAGAGCTGGTCTGAGATCCTGAAACACTGTGTTCTGTCTACGTAAGCATGGAGGGTACGTACTGGACAGAGCAGTGCTAAGGCTGGGTCTGCCTCCTCCAGGGGCAGCACTTATAGGTTCACCACCTGATCTCGAATGGGAGTGGTGGGAATCTTGGGCCATCCAGGGCCAGGATCTCAGGATCACGTGAGAATGGGCTGGCCCGAATTCCACGCACCCATCTTGCAGGAAGGAAAGCACGACAGTGACGGGGCATTTTCTGGGGTCTTCTCTGTGAGAAGAGCACCAGTTGACATAGAGGTACCACTCCAACACGTAGGCATGTCTCATGGACAATGATCTAGGAAGTGATGATAGCCCCCACCGCTGGTGTTAGGGCACTCAAACCTGCCTTGTCCTGTCCAGGAGCCACACGTGGAGGTTCCAAAGATCGGGAGGGTGCCCCGTCTCTGAGAAAGGTTCCTTCCTCAGAGGAATTGGCCAGAGAAGTGCTGTCGCAAGAAGTACAAGTTTGAAGAACCTGGTCCAGCTGGGCCAATGAGGCGCAACCAATATGACCTGCTCCTTGTCCTCTCTGATCTTGCACAGGGGATGTGCCGGGTCTGTGCAAGAAGGCTCACTGGGGGAAACGCATACTTGTGGAGGCCTCGGGGCTAGCTGTGCGCCAATGAGTCCGTGCCGAGCATGCCCTTGGTCAGGGAGTAAAACAGGTCACAATGGGACTGATTTGGGATCAGTCCCCGAACTGATCCCAAATCAGCTGAACCAGCTTGGGATGGAGTCGCCCTTCTCCAGGAAGAGTCTGAGAAAGCTTGGCGGGTGCACAACTCAGGGTTCACAGAATATAATGGCCCGAAGCGACCTCAGATGCTTCTGACTCCATAAGAGGAGGTGGAGGGCGAGTTGCGACATACGGCAGGAACATATACCACCTAGTCAGTAGATGTACGCTACTGTCATGTTATTGTCTGATCGGACTAGTACGTGCTTGTTCTTGAGCAACGCATGGAAGCAGTGCAGAGCGAGACATACTGCCAGCAACTCGAGGCAATCGACATGCCAAAAGGTGCAGGGCTCCTGTCCAGGAGCTGTTGCCAGGTCTGTTGAGACAACAACATGCCTGGAAACTCGTTCCAACCGCACTCTTGCCCTCGAACTGTCTAAGGCAAGTCAGCAGTGTTTGCGCGCATGCACTTGCTATTAAGCTTGTGGAGAATGCTGTCACCTTCATCACTCGTAGAGCAAAGTCGGTGGCGGCAGGCAGCTCTTGGATGAGCCCTGAATCAGCCCTACCCATGTGCATGTCATTGAGCACCCTGAAGGATGGCAGTAGCGTGCAGTGAGGTTGCAGCCTGCCTCGCAGCTCTATAGTTCTTTGCCACCAACTCCCACAAGCTCATGACCTCTTCCTGCACATCCGGGTAGAAAGGATTTGGGTTCGCCTCCCCAAACATGCTCGGGACATTGCAGAGTGTTCCACACAAGCCTGATACTCACGACGGGAGAACGTGATGCATCCATGAATGCTGTCTGAGCGTTATCGAAGCCCGAACACGTCAAAATAGCGTTCGAGCCCATCAGCTGACTCTATTAGACAACTGCACTCCTACTGCAGAAATACACGGGCAGATCATCTTTAAAAAGACGTGTCACGTGCACACTCTTTTTGTGATAGAAAAGCTTGTAGCAGTGCTGAAACGCCATCACACCAACACTGACTGGAAGCTACTTGTGTAGAAGATTCTCGAAGATACACTCTAAAAAATGCTGGGTTGTTTTAACCCAATTTTGGGTCAAATATGGACGAACCCAGCCAATTGGGTTAAAAATATAATTTAAAAATGTAACCCAATGGCTGGGTTTGTCCATATTTTACCCAAAATTGGGTTAAAACAACCCAGCATTTTTTAGAGTGTAGTCAGAGAATAGGCTGCAGGAGTGAAGAGAACTTCTTGGCTCCTCAGCAAGTAACATTTCTGCATTTCGCCAGCATACTTCCTTATATACCCACGAGGTGGGGTGGAGTCACGCTATGCAAAATCCGCAGACCCATGGCATTTCTTTACCATTGGCTCGTTTTGTAATACTCAAAGTTGATAGGCTCTCTAAGCAAAACCCCATTTTGTCGTCATTCAACTCCAAGTGACTGCGAAAAGGGAACAGAAGTTACCGAGAGCAATCCACCAGTGCTCTGTTGAGGGAAAATCAGCCATAACTGAAACAAAAATGACAGACAAAACAGGTAGACAATTAGTCATCATGTACTTTCAAACATACATTTATAGTGGATATAAAAAGTCTACACCTGTTAAAACGGCTGGTTTTAATGATGTAAACAATGAAACAAAGATAATCATATCAGAATATCATGGTTGATTTAGTTGTGCTGATGATATTAATTCTGAACACACTATGCGATTATAAAGGGTGTGGATGTGGAATCTTATGCCTTTAGTTTTGATCTTTTTTTCTCTGAAATCACTTTTTCAGTTGGATTGGTTGACATTTTCAAATGTGCAAAAGTTCTGGAAAGATTGAAAGTAGTTGAGAAAAGCCTAGAAAAATGTACATCATTTTGCAATCATATTGCGTCGTTGGGCTTAGATTTGGTAGTTTTATTGCTGCACAGTAAATTCCCCGGTGTTAATTTTAACACCGCTCGGTGTTTATATGGGAACCTGTTCAGGACTGAACTGATACAGTGTTAGAGTTAAACGTACAGTATACGATTTTTGGCCACCAGGGGTCACTCGTTTAAAATAATAACAAAAGACGTACTTTGATGACGTCGGGAAAGAGCGTGGGCTCACGGGAGTTGTTGTCGCTGTCAATGACAACCAGCTCAGCTCATGACATGACATCATCGTTTCACAAAATATACGGATATACGGCATCTCTCTGTAGATTTAGCTTGTCAAGAAGCTTAAATGCAACCCCAATGTTTACCTGTGTCATGCTTCTCCTGTCCCAAACTCTTCTCGGGTCATATTTTTTAGGTACGTTTGAGCTTTAGCTAATGAGCTGGCTGTAGCAGCAGAACGTGCAGGCAAAGCGTAATCGTGGTCCATAACTATTATACAGACGAATATAAATATTAATATTACGCTACTTCAATGAATGACCTATTTTAGAATATTTTTCATATATAGAGCGCACCGGATTATAAAGCACATAAGATACTGCAGTCAAACGTTTGACTGGGTTTGCGTTATTCATCCACTATGTGCTAAAGGGAATGTAGTGAGTGCGCGGCGCCGGAGGTGAGGCGTTTATTTAGTAAGCATGAGAGAGCTGAAGCGGGCACGTACAGTCGCAGCCTGACTCATAAGAGTATTCAATGTGCGCGGCTCGCTAACAGCAACAGTTGGCTGATTTGAATGAGACGACCCGGTTACTGTGAACGGGGAGCGCTTTGTGCGCGAGCAGCAGGGACAGTGTGTCTGTTAAGAGTGAGGGCTCATGAGCGGGCACGTGATTTACACACATAAAAATACGTACTACTTTTTTTTCTTCGTCATTTTCTTTGCTTTATTGGCGGTAGTCCAGTGTTCCCCTTTGTGTTTGGCGGTTTCGCCTGGTTCCGCAAGGAAGTTAGAGAAAATAGAGGAGTCAAAGGTTATATGACGCCATAAACGGGCGACGAAACGGAAATAAAAAAACGTCCCGTGTCTTCGAATTAAACTATAAATTTCTCCGTATTTGAAATTTGGTGGAAACTGTCGGGATAATGTAAGTACATATCTAACAGAAATATATAACATAGATACAGTTATTTTTGCTATTTTTAATGCAGAAAAAAATGCATATTGTGGCTTTAATGAGATAATTAAGTGATTAATTGAGTGATGATTGAGCATTATTGAAGACACCTAAAGCAGAATTACAAGGAGAAAACCTAACTTTCAGGTCACCATTATGGAGATGAGAGTTTGCTTTAGTTGGGCTCTTGATCCTTTCATTATTATACCTGAGTTATACCTGTCAGATGAACAAAGAAACAATTCATATGATGGTGTTGGTTATATTATGACATTCATCATTTTAAATATATGTTTGTGGTTAATTTTCTAGGTCACAGCATAACTGAGATTCTACATAAATATCCAGAATGTCAGATATAATATAATGGATTTCTACAAGTTGTTTAAAAAAAAAAAAACTTTTTTATCGGCACACACAAACACACAAATTGATTCAGTCAATGCTTCTCAACGATGGTGACGAGCAGAATATTCAATTAGGAAAAGTAAATTACATAGACAATTCAGATCATAATTTATTAATACCGCAATGCATGATGGGAGACATTAATGAGTTGTGATTGGTGGCTACAAGGATTATTATTGTCACAATGGTTGAGATACACAAGCTGATTATTGATGTCTGTGTTTCTAAATAAAGTGATTTGATCAGAATAGTTTTTATTAAATATTTTAGGTTATAAGAAAAATATGGATATACTGTACAATCACTAAACTGTTACTAACAAGTTAAGCCAATTCATCTGTAAAGTTTCATTTTTCAGATCATAGCATGATTATGTCAAAACATAACCAACAATATCAGCTCACAGTTTTCTTTGTTCATTTGATTGTTATAAATCAATAACAGCAGACAAACAAAGTTTAAAGTGAAAGTATAAGGGTGAATAGCCCAACTAAAGCAAACACTGATCTCCATAACGGTGGCTCACAATTTTAGATTTTCTCCTTCAGTGATTCTGCTTGTTATCATCAGGTGTCTTCAATAATCAGTCCCTCCAGAAAAACGCGATTATGCGATCGCTGAATTCAATGCAAAATCAGCCAAAGTCCGCATATTTATGCGGGGGCCGCATTTTTTCAAATACGCCTCACTTTCGCCGCATAAATTGCCGATTTCCGTGCAAAATATGCGGGGTTTGCATAATTTCATAATCCTCGCATTTTCGTTGCAAAAAAAAGTCACATGTATCTTAGCAGAAAGTTGAAAAATGTTGCGTTTGCTTCACATAAGAGCAGCCATTTCCCCCTGTTTCCATGGGAACGTTATGAAGTGACGCAATTACGCGACGCCAGACAGACTCACGGAGACGATTGACATCTCACAAATCGAACTCGTATAACTGTCTGTCGAACGTTCTACTGTCACATTGTTACTTAATAAACAACATAAGATAAAAGTAGTAGCATCAAACAGAAATTACCCGCACACATGGGGTGTTCGACAGTTCAACAGGGAGCGCGCAGCTCTTAAAGGGGCCACACCTTATTTACACTCTTACAGTCTGAAATAAAACAAGATGAGAAATTAAATATTCCCAGCACTTTCTATGATGTAGTATGCTTGTTTACCAAAGGAAGTAATAAGAAATGACTCTTATATTAACAGGATGTTGGGGGAATCACTTTTTTTCTCTTTTTCATCAAACCGCAATTTTTGCAAGTTCCCTCAATTTTTGTAAATTCCAGCAATTTCATCGCATAAAATTGCATAAATATCCCACATATTCCATCGCATTTTTAAAGAAAACTGGCCGCATAATCAATCAATTTTTGCCCGCAACAATCACAAAAAAAAAACTCCGTGTTTTTCTGGAAGGACTGAATACTATTATGGTAAATGTTAAATATAAATCGCAAATTTTTTCAAAAATTTTTGGAAATTACCACCACAAAATCAGTCATTTTGATCGCAAAAATCACAAAAAAAAAATAGTGAAATCCTGGAGGGACTGAATAATGCTCAATCATCACTCAATTAATCACTTAATTATCTCATTAATTCTAACACTGCCTCAGTGTTACTTTTAACACCCTGCCGGTGGTTCCCATATGAACACCGAGCGGTGTTAATTTAACACCAGGGAATTTACTGTGTGATAATAACACAATGAAACATGCCAAATTGTGCAGAACATAATTTTTGGCCAGACTGAGCATGAAAAAAAAAAAAACAGAGAGCCAAATAAATATTAATAACTGATTAAGTGTGAATGACTACTGATGAATGTCAGCTTTTTGTTTTTCTTTGCATAGAAAAATATTACCTGTAGCTTGCAAAAATAATGTTGTAATATTTAAAAAAAAAAAGATCAATTATTTTTTCTCATATTTTGATGGTTGTATCAAACTTGTAGGGTGATTAAAAGCAAATATGGTATATTTATATATCCAATTATGGCAAATAATATATCCTGTGGGCATCATCTTTGGCAACTACTGTAGATCAATATTTGCTGAAAAAGCTCTCAAATAAAGATAATTCAAAGAGATCTGCATACATTATTATGCCATACAAATAAAGCGTTGAGTAGAAAAATGTCTGTAGAAGGCCTTATATGTTTTGCCTGGTCACTGACCACCTTCACACCACAGTAATCGATTCAATCACGTTTATGCACATGTGAATACAGTGTCTCTGTTCTTCAGTGTCTCAGTAAGTGTGCTTTAGTGAGGTGTGTGAAGCTTCTACTTCAAACTTGATTATAGAAATATGTATTACAGAAATTAAACAGCTACAGGCCAGGGTCACACTTCATTCTATCTGCCTTGGTAAACATACTTTTTCACTAAGCTTATGTCATTTTCCAGAATGACAGCTCACAGATTAAAAGAAAAAGACATAATTCTGTGTATTCACCTATCTAATTCATTCAAGCGCCAGTACAGCAGATTTATAGTCTACAGTGAAAAGAGCCGAAAGCTGTTTTACAGTCGTCTGAGGCTGGCTGTGTGTTGTGTGGGTGAAGATGTTTTCCACTAATAGATGTTATTCAGGCTCTCAAACTCATCATGTACTCTGGTGAATGCAGCACTGACTCATCAGTATTTAGATCATGTATTAGGGATGTTCACACAAAAATCTACATTTGTATCAACATTTTAAGGTCAAAGGCACTGAAGGAGAAAAGGGTGACAGTTGCTATAGCCTTTTACTTCTCTTTGTTTACTTGAATTATTTCTAGCCGTTCAATGCACCTGAACCCCAAATCTGCTGAATTTATTGGATCTACGCATTAGTTTAATTACAATCGTGACCAGTGGGTGTAACACATTACAAGTAGCTAAAGTTACATAATCAGATTACTATTTTCAAGAACTAAAGTGAATAGTAAACACATTACTTATAAATTCACTACCGACAAAATGTCTTTGCTGTTGGCCTTCAACGATCCAACTTAACCATACTAATAAGCAAAAATCACCTCTGTGTTTCTTTTTTTTCTGTTTGGCTAAACTTTCTTCTTCTTCGGTTCAGAACAGTAGTGCAGCTGTGAGGTTTGTTTGAGCGGCGCCCTCTACTGAATAAGCTTGAATTTGCATTTCTTTTAGCCTGAGGCTTATGGGCTCTATGCACGGCGGTATTTCCGGTGAAGGTGTAAGGATGATCGATAACTTCCGCCGATTGTAGAGTCCAATGCAATACCGAGAATTGATATTGAATTTTATACTCCATGGTTATACTAAAGAAACGTTAGTCACAAAAACAGATAAAACAGACGCCCCTCGTTGTGTTTACGCTTCTTTTTCAAATTATATTAAATAAACATAACTATATATAAAATTGCATCTAAACGTATGAAAGTTTCGTTTCAAAGACAGGAGGACAGTAAATTTTGACGACTTTGCCATAATCTCGCTTTTCTTGGTTTTCCTCCGCTTTAATCTCCCCAACCGGAAACTGAAGAGCATCCTTGCGTCAAATGCGGAACTTATGCGTGCATATAGCCCATTCATTTAAGCCTGAAACTGAACGCTACCGGCTGTTCGAAAAGGGGGAGGAGCCATTCGATATGTCCCGCCTTTGCTTCCTATTTAACAAAAGGGTATTGACAGATCCCCATAACGCCATTATCCAACGGAAAAAAAGCCTTCACAACGCTGTTTGTATTACACCAATTTATCACCAATTTCGAAGATATAGCCAAATGTTTTTTTCGCGCTAAATCGCAACGCTACACAAACCGTAAGACGAAACCCAGCAAGTTTGGTATCGTTGGACTCGGCAACAATTCAGGAAAAGATGACTCCCCTGAAAATAAGACGACCACGACCAAAGTTATAAACATATGAAAAAAAATTCACCACTAGGTGGCGCTGTTTCGAAACTTCTCAGGCTCCTTCAGGCCATCATACTGATGACCCATACAAAGTTTCGAAACAATTCGTTCATGCATTCAGAAAATACAGCATTTTAGCACATAATTCAAAATGGCCGACAGACAAAATGGCCGATATGGGAAAATTTATGATTTTTGGACAAACTGACCAAATTTTTCATATCTCCGGACCAGTAGGTGGTGCTGTGCCGAAACACTGCATGTAGCCTCAGGTCATGCTTATGATGACATGTACCAAGTTTGGTCTGAATATGATAAACCGTTGCGAAGATACAGCCTTACGACTGTTTTTGCAGGCGCTATATAAAATTTGTTTGTGGTTTTATCGAAAACGGTTAAGCGAATCAACTTGAATTTGATACATTTTTGCTGCCATTGTCTGTAGATGATCTGATTCAATTTTCGTGCAAATCGGACAAACCGTCTAGGACGAGTTCGCAAATGTAGCCTTTTCAGGAAGTTCAAAATGGCGGTCATATTTTCATGACGTAAAATGACTTCATAGGATGCAATCGAAGCGTCATGAGCTCAGGAATCAGAAGAAAAAAGATTTTGTTGTTTTTTGAAAAAAAGATTTTGAAAAAAAATTTGTTGATTGGCCTTATGGTTCAAAAGTTATTAGCAAAATAAAAGTGAAACTTTTGGTGGTGGCGCTAGAGGGAATGACTTAGAAACACCAAAATTGGTGTATTTAATGTTGGGACTGTCCTCTATCAGAATGTCAAACCAAAACAACTTTCCTGCAATCGGTTCTATGGGCTGCCATAGACTCCTATGGCGGGAGAATAATAATAACAACGGTAACAGATACAAGAGGTGCCCCTAATTACATATATCGACCTTCAGCCACACAATATATCGGCATCTGCAAAATTTGTCAACCACTAGGTAATAAGTTAATATCAAGTTCAGTTTTTGTTTTGTTTGTTTGTTATTTTAGAATAAAACTGCGCATGTGTTCACAAGCTTGAATCACCATCAGTGGATTCCCGTTACACTGAGAGACTAAATTCAACTATTTTCTGTGGATGTTGACAGCATTTTACTGCTTGGCTCGTTTTGAACCCATAATATCAGGCATTCAGGTTAACTTGTCAAATTGACTTGACCATATATGCTTAATCTCCAGTCAGTCTTCAATGTGTTTAGATGCTCTCACCGGCTATGGTCAGTCCAACGTGCAGCAGTGTGACAGTGATGGCGTAGTCCCACACACATTCCTCCACGATCCACGCGAATATCAGACCGCCCAGAACGTACGTCACCTCTGTGGAGATCACACTCACTGCACAACAATCACACACACACACACACATGTCTGAAAGACAACTGTTTTATTATGCACAAAACATAAGAACATCTCTAATCAGTGAAGATCATTTGAGATCAGCACATCAGAACTTACCAAGAGCCAATTTATGTGTGAAATAAGTGTTAATTTCACCTATTATTAATTGTTACCATCACTGAATTGTGTTGTGTCATGCATTGTGTTTACTCTCAGCAACTGCCTTCCCTCTGGTCATTTTGATCCGAAACAAAAATTTTCAAAACATTTAAAGGGGTCTTCTAATGCCCTTTTCAAAAGATGTAAAATAAGTTTCTGATGTCCCCAGAGTGTGTATGTGAAGTTTTAGCTCGAAATACCCCACAGATATTTTTATAGCATGTTAAAAGTGGCACTTTTTTAGGGTAAGCAAAAACGCGCAGTTTATGTGTGTGTCCTTGCAAATGAGCTGCTGCTCCGTGTGTTGTGTGTATGATAGCAGCTTCGATTAGACAGACACTGAAGAAGTGACAACATGTTCAAGCAACTGGACGTCTCTGAATGGTTAGTTGATGAATATGTTGCTGATGTAGCTTAGCCAGCTTCAAGTCATTGATTAGCATATTCTGTCATGATAATCTATACTCAAAATCACGTTCCCGGGGGTGGGGTTTATGTAAATTTTATGGTTAGTGATGTCACTAACCTGTTTAGTAACTTGTAGTCCCTACCAGACGTTTGTTGTAGGCCCTTAAAGTCCCTGTGAACCGGAAGTTGCAAACGACTTTTCTCCAGTGTTGTGACGTATTTCTGAGAGAAACGGAATACTAAATGAGGCGAAATAGTGGGCGTGGCTTTTTTTCCAACTAGCACCTGATTGGATCTAGAAAAATGGGTGTTTCATTCTGAAATGGAGGATGACGCAAGTTTACACACGCTGTCAATCAATGCTCGCTCGGCGCTCGCAAACACACATCAGCTGTCAGTTGGAGGGGCGTGGTTATGGATGTTAAGGAGACACCCAAACCGTAAAGCCTACGTCATCGGGCAAGGTCCTCCAATGCAGAGGGGAGGGGCATTTTCAAAATTTGATTAAAGTTTACAAAGCCAAAAATTTTTTGTGTGGATCGACTTGCATGTATGAATTGTTCACCACAAAACGATCAATTTAGGCAAACAAAGTAAGTATGATCGATTTTGATTTCATGGGGACTTTAAAATGTGATTTCTATAAAAAAAAGTCTCCCTTTGCTTTGAACTTTAAGCGTCGTAACTTTGCAGATGTTTTTTATGCTCAAACAGCAACATTACACACTAACTATAGTTAAAAAAGTCAAATCATAATCGACCACCCCTTTAAAAAAATTAAGTGTACCCCTAAATGCATTGAAGCAACTGCCATGTAATTGGTTGATTAGATAATTGCATTAATGAGAAACTGAACAGGTGTTCCTGATAATCCTTTCGGTGAGTGTACAAGCTTTCTGGACAAAAAAAAAAGGTTTTCAGGGGCTGCGTTGGAGTCCACTTTTAGACACGCGCTTGCGAACTTCCCTAAGCACTTCCCCTTGGGAGAATCCCTGCCGCCATTTTGAAGTGCGTTCCACTTCGTGAAGTGAATGAGGGAAGTTTATATGGACAGTTCCCTCGATTTAGACCTAGGGAGCGAGTCTACTTCATATGTACACACTTCAGGCTATCTATATATCCCACAATGCAGTACGATTGTGACGTAACAAAAGATCGTCTAATCATCACGATCATGATTATATTAATTATAATTTATTTATTTATTTTAAAATAACCCAAACACACCAATATACATGTGGATGCTGCATTAAACAAATTCGTAAAGGGGAAAAAAGTAAACAATAAATCAGCTCATAGCTGATTCAAAGTGATCAAGGGCTTAGGACGTTCCAGTTCAGCTCATTGCGGTTTCCGCCAGTAGTGAGCACTCGTGCAACGTAAGCAATGACGTACAACTAGGGTTGGGTATCGAGAATCGAGTATCGATTGGAACCGGGACTAACTTTTCGTTTTTCCCGGAATCGTTCAAAAGTTAAAATTTCGATTCCTAGTTTCGATATTCACAGTCCGCCGAGCGGAAGAAGAAACCGCTGAACAACACCAACGAAGAAGCGTCTACCGGAAGTGTTGGCATAACCGCGCGAGTCGAACATGAGTAGCTTACGTCGGCGGTCCAAAGTGTGGCTTCACTTTTCTAAAAATAACGAAATCTCGGCAAAATGCAAAATTTGTGACAAAAGGAGTATTTTTACAGAAGGATTATTTCCTTCAGAAAGGCCGTTGGTTAGCAAGGTTAGCTAAACTTTTTTGACCCTGCCTCTTAAAAGAATCGGAATTGAGAATCGTTAGGAACCGGAATCGAAACAAGGAATCGGAATCAGAATTGTTCAAATTCAAACGATACCCAACCCTACGTACAACCAAGTGAACGAGACGGAGGGAAGTTAGCGAGTGAAGGGCATGGCAATTTTGGACTGGAACGCAGCATTGGGGTGATTTTGACCTGTGAGGGAAGGGTTTGTTGCAGAATGGGAGGAGTTTTTGTGACTGCAAGTGTCAGTCTCGAGCCAGTGTTCAGTCAAATAAAACCTTACACAACATGAAGTATCCCACTGTATATCTGAACCAAGCCTACCTAAGTATTTTGGATTTTGCCATGATGGTTGAGTGGTGTAGTCGAATGGTGCCAACAAGCTGTCAACTTCGTCGACCCTGATTACAACAAACAAAACAACAACAAATAAACAAACACAAAGCTTGAATAATTTCTGTAATATTAGTTCAGATCAAGAATGTGATGTTATAATGCTAATAGTTTTTACTACTGTAAATAAGTTTATTGTAGCTAAAATAGCAACAACACATGGATTAAGAGAGTAGAATCTAATTTGTATCAAAAACTGATCCTGCTCTATTCTAATTTTGCATGGATCACAAAACGTTGAATGCCGGCACCTCCTTTATAAGACGTGTGTGTGTAATGATCCAAAATGTGAACAGACAACAATTCACAAAATTTATGTTCCTGATGTTCCTAAATGCAACTTTTTAATTCCACAGAACACCAACAAATATGGTACAAACTTTATGGATTATTTTTATTATTGTTATGAGCTCAAAAGATTAGTACGCATTTCCACGAAAGAACATTTCTACGTCAGTTTCTGGTGATGTTGGATGAAATCAAATCCAATCGTACATGCATTTCATAAACGAGGCCATTTAGAAGGAGATGTTCTATATGGAACCATAAAGGGTTCTGTCAGGCGCTTCGTAAACCTTCCCATCATATGATCATTTTATGGATTTAGCTTAATTTCATTCTAATTCATTTTTAATTCTAATTCAATTGTATTCATTAAACGGCGTGTAAAGAAACTTTATCACTATTCAAAATTTAAATAACACATTAAACACGAAAGTTTTATGCAATAATTTAAGACATTTCTCCTTATATAGAACCTTTTAGTCAATAACCCTAGAGTTCTATATAGAACACCACGGAACCTTCCATTCTAAGAGTGCAGATGTTAACCCCACACAAACTGACAAAAACCGTGCAAACCTTTAAATGTTTTAAATATAACATGAACCGCATAGAAATCAGCCCAACAATAGACCTTATTCAGAGCAGCGCCATGACAGGTATAAAAGTGAGGCTGTGAGGGATAGACTTACCGTGTTTCCAATGGCATCCGCTGTAAAAAAGATTAATAAAGCGGCTAGATTACTTACAATTTTCCACAGCTTACATTGTCGGGATATTTTTTTAAAGATATTTTTTCAGTGTTTCATGAGCAGAACAATCCGAAAACAGATTAAATAACAGTACAGCCCATTGAAGAGATGCAAGTCTATCCCTCACAGCCTCGCTATCATTCTCATTAAAAATCAAAGATGGCGCTGCCGTGAATAAGGCGTATACGCTAGCTAAACTAATTAATAACACGATATTCATGGGTTGAATATGAAAACTGACCATTTAGTGAATGCATAAATAGCACCAGGAGTGATTTACATAAAACAATCTCTGGGACTAATATCACAAAGTGCTACGATCCACTGACGTAGACTGTTTTTTTCTCTATACAGGAAGTCACATCACCACATATAAAGCAGAGAGAGAGAGAGAGAGAGAGAGAGAGAGAGAGGGGAAGTGGTGCCGCTCGGTGTGGAGAATCTCACCTGAGAATGCCGATGCAGAGACTGACCACAATATAGTACACCGAGTAGAAGCACACCATACACATCAGCAGGTTTTGAAGAACAGCCTGACAACAAACACACAACACAGCTGTTTGCCTGCTGGGAAAGTTACTCCTAGTTTTATCAATTATTGTTTTTGCAGTGTCTAATCAAACATGTACAATTGTTTATGAGCCTGAATTATTTCCTCTATCAAATGTTGCCTGTGTTTTAGTCAACCAATCAATCCGTCAATCACAGAAGAGCTTGAGTAAGAGTCGTCTGGAAGCATATGCGGCACTATAGGCTATGTAAACTGCTACAGGGGCTCAAACTTTACCCAGGTGTCCTGGATCTTGCTGTTGATTGGCAGCTGGCCATGGCGTCTGATCAGAGAGGTCCCACAGCACCGGCAACAGTAGTCCAACAACATGAATGGCCGGCGATTCTTTGATGGACGCTAGCACTAGCACAACACTGAATCTGTGCATCTGTCATGGCTGCTCTTAATGAGATTAGCAACACTCCCGTAAATCTGTTGAGGATAAAGCCCAGTGACAGGCCTGGTCTACGCTAACTAATCACACACACACACACTCACAATACCCCTCGTTCAGTAAAGATGGGCTACCTCACATTAGCACACCTGCTAACAATACTTTGCTCTAGCATTGCTAATGGTGCAGATTTCAGAAACAATTGGTCTCAAACCAAAGTATACCAAATGTATTCTCTGTTTATTCCTGCGTTCACTTAAAGGTTGTATCAGCGATTTCAGGCCCAAACAATAAATATCACATTCATCTAATCTTTCCTAGCGATCCGTTATAAGCAGGCTGTCAAAAATCACTTCTCTGTAGGGAAGCCAAGGCTCTGAGATCTGCACACAAAAACAAATGGGAACAACCACCACTCAAAACCAAAATAAACAGTGTTCAAACCAATCACGACAGGGCCGCGAAGTCGGAGCTGAAGAATAAGCCAGTGTCTATCAACACAATGCTATCAATGGACCAGATACATTCAACATGGAAGAGGCAATCCCGAAGAAGAGGAGGAGGAGGATTAGGGCTAGGGAATAGCGTTATTTTTCATCAAAGAAACGAATAATAATCAGGTAGGCTTTTGAACGGTGCAGAGAACTCAAAGAATTTAACTTTTTTTAAATTGGAGGCCGAGGTTGGGTAACGGAGGCCAGCTAGTAGTTGCTGTGCTAGTAAACCTCACTCCCCTGATCTCAATAGGCACTCTAGCGACAGACGTTAGGGGCTGTAGTCTTTAGTAGGGTTGGGTATCGTTTGAATTTGAACGATTCTGATTCCGATTCCTTGTTTCAATTCCGGTTCCTGAAGATTCTCGATTCCGATTCTTTTAAGAGGCAGGGTCAAAAAAGTTTAGCTAACCTTGCTAACCAACGGCCTTTCTGAAGGAAATACTCCTTCTGTAAAAATACTCCTTTTGTCACAAATTTTGCATTTTGCCGAGATTTCGTTATTTTTAGAAAAGTGAAGCCACACTTTGGATCGCCGACGTAAGCTACTCATGTTCAACTCGCGCGGTTATGCCAACACTTCGGTAGACGCTTCTTCGCTGGTGTTGTTCAGCGGTTTCTTCTTCCGGTCGGCGGACTGTGAATATCGAAACTAGGAATCGAAATTTTAACTTTTGAACGATTCCGGGAAAAACGAAAAGTTAGTCCCGGTTCCAATCGATACTCGATTCTCAATACCCAACCCTAGTGTTTAGCCTCCTTCTTAGAGCGCCTGACTCTCATGCTGGAGACCCGGTTTGAGGCTCGCTCGGAGCGGGTCGTGTGGGACCCGGGTGGAGGGGTTACATTGGTGCCGTGACCCGGATGGGAGTGAGGTTTAGGGGGGTGAGTGTAACGGAGGCCAGCTAGTAGTTGCTGTGCTAGTAAACCTCACTCCCCTGATCTCAATAGGCGCTCTATCGGCAGACACTAGAGGCTGCAGTCTTTAGCCTCCTTGTTAGAGCGCCCGACTCTCATGTCAGAGACCTCGGTTTGAGGCCCACTCAGAGCGGGTCGAGTGGGACCCGGGTGGAGGGGTTTCTTCTGGACAGCTTCTAGCGCTGATGTTAACTGTGAAAATGTAATTCTTTAAAAAATATGAGTGAAGCTCGACTAAACTTAGATCTAGTGAATATTTTTTATGATCTAGTTTTTCATGATCCACGAAACGGGAGGGGGGCGAGCTAACTTGGTTTGTTGGGGATCTCACTTCAAACACAAACAGTGACGTAACCCACAATCGCTGATACAACCTTTAATAGTGATACTACAACTAATTTTCTGATAATTACATTTTTTTATTTTAAAGGGGTGATGAACTGAGAAATAAAATTTTCCTTGAGCGTTTGACATCTAAGAGGTCATCGTATTATAAGACTATCCTGTAAGTTTCAGAACTGAAAACGTCCTTGTTAGTCCAATAAAAGCTTTTATTGACACCAGGCTCAGCAAACGACTCGTTTTTCAAAGTGGGGAACTAGCAGGCCTGCCCGCCCCAAGCCACAACCTTTTTGAGGGAAGGAGACAAGGCTCATAAGACCGGCATGGTGGCCAAGAACCCACCCTCTGCCTTGCAACGAGCCTCCGACTGGGAATTGAGAGTAGACCTGAAGAAGAAGCTTGTCTTCCCACAGGACGTGGCAGCGACTTCCCTCCCTGAGCTTCCCTGAGCTCACACTGCCCTGGGAGGAAAGGCTAGCCACATCACACCAACTAAAAAAAGCCAAGTACCAAGATCTGATCGACGAAGCCAGTGTAAAGGGATGGCATGCAACCAGCTACCCCATTGAAGTCGGGTGTCGCAGGTTTCCTGCAAAATCGGCGCTACTTCCTCCAGAGGATGGGCCTGGAGTATAAACAGCTGAAGAAATCTACCAGAGACATAGCTGCAGCAGCCGAATCTAGCTCAAGATGTCTGTGGCTGAAAAGAGCCCACAGTTGGAACCCTTCTGCAGGTGAAGGCTAGTCAGTCTTCATGGCCCCACTCAGGTGAGGTGTTCAGGTTAAGCGGCGAAACACCCGAGACCCTGAGATCCCTGCTGATGATGCGGAAGAGTTCCATGTGGATGCTCCGGGAATACCATCTCCGAAGAAGGTCTGCATCATGGTTTAGTAGTTCCTATAGTGGCAGCTTGTGGCAAAGCATCTAGATGTTTACTTCACCATGACGTCAAAGATAACACAGTCTCATCCCAAAAAGTCATATAACTGACGTCTTGGGACGTCTTTTGACCATACGTCAATATCCGCCTTTTTAGGGCCCCCTTAAACGTCGGTAGATGGCGATCCCGGGCCGTCATACAACTGACGCTTTACCTTTAACATCAGTTAGGTGACGGGTTAGGTTTAGGGTTAGGTTTAGGTCTGGGGTAGAGTTAGGATCCCATAACCTCATCTACCGACGTTTAAGGAGGCCCTAAAAAGGCGAATATTGATGTATGGTCAAAAGACGTCCCAAAACGTCAGTTATATGACGTCTTGGGATGAGACCGGGTTGGATCGTCATATCGCGTCGGAAGTTCCGAGAGTCTCCCGCATATTGATAGCGTCTCCCTGATGGCCGCAAATTAGTTAAAATCTCCCGGAATCCGCGCATAACATACATAGCGCGCGGCGCGTGCATGGCAGAGAGGGAGTGAACGAGATCTTGCGAATGTGCCACACGACAGAAATGTGCCATTCTCCTATTGTTAATAAGAGATAAGGGGCCGTTTACAATATTGCTTTTATATATAAAAGCAATATTCGAATAGTAACTTTAGCATTCGAATAGTATTGATTTTTTTTTAATATTCGAATTATATTCGAATTTCGGAATTCGTTCCAACAGCCCTAAGTTGTTCCAAACCAATGATCACAAACTGTTGGGTTTCCAGTGTTCTTTTGAAGAAAGAAGAATGAAAATCATGCAGGTTTGGATCAACTTGACAACAAAATGATGACAGAATTGTTTTATTTTTGGGTGATCTATCACTTTAATTCGCCCAATACCTAAACTAAATAACAACTACCTTACTAATGGTTAAAAAGCAGTAATTATGAGTTTGAGGCAAACGGCGTAGTTAATAGTGAGAATTGGACATTAGTGACATTTTTGGGTGTACTATTCCTTTAAGAGATGTAGAATAAGGCATTAAAATGTGCTTTATACGTACTAATAAACGGCCAATATCCTAATAATATGCATGCTAATAATCACCTAGTTGATGGAGAGAATTGGACCCTAAACTAAAGTGTTGCCAATAGGGATGCACCGATATGAAAATTTTGGCCGATACCGATAACCGATAATTCTTTATATTTGAAAGCCGATAACCGATATATCGGCCGATAAACTTAAATCCAAATTTTTATCTAATTTTGAGAGCCTGATCACAAAAACAAAAGTCTCACAATTAAATCCATGTCCATGTTATAGTGTTGTATAGCCGATATGACAGATTTGCGTTGCACATGTTGTACCGAACCGTATTTTCATTTTTTGAAGAGATTTCAATCCTATTTCAAGAAATTCAAAAACATAAACAGTGCTCAACAAGTGTCTCAGCTGAAGGGAATAATACATTATTTATCGGCTTTAATATATCGGCCACATACGCCGATAACGATAACATTAAAAATGAACATATATCGGCCGATATCGATATGCTGGCCGATATATCGTGCATCCCTAGTTACCAATGATTTTTAATAGACAGTTGCAGTCTTGGTGTTGGACTGTCGGTTCAGTGGGTAATGAATATAAATCATCACTATTGCAATCACAAAGGCTTTTCATAGACTCAATTTCCCTCATTAAAAACATCTCTAAGCATCTCCACCCCAAACTCTTGTCCGACGCTGATGATCGAGTGCTCATGGGGGCCCTAAAAGGCGAATATTGACGTATGGTCAAAAGACGTCCCAAAACGTCAGTTATATGACGTCTTGGGATGAGACCGGGTTGTCAAAGAGGATAAAACACCACTCCCGCAGAAGATGATCAACGCCTACTTCAACACGGCCGGTTTAGCCCCGTCCACCGATTCACGCGTTACACGCATAGCTAAATAACATAGATGCCTACCTTGTGATGACTAACCGGATTGAGCTACCGAGCAATACAGAATATTGTGCAGTGGCTGGTTGTGGAAGAAGACAGTCGCTGCATAAGCTTCCTCTGGATTCCAATAGGACTTCATGGATCAACTTTATTTCTAATGACGTTCCAGCTGATGAGAGTAAAACATCGTCCATCTGTTTGCTTCATTTCACTGAGGATTGTTTTGTGAACAAGACCGGATTTGCAGACCGATTAAGAGTAAAGAACGGCGCTGTGCCGTCTATATTGGATCTGACAGGAATGGTGCAACACACGGACTCTGGGTCGGACAGGTATGGGCGAATCACTCCGGTTGCCATTTTACAACATTGGACGTTTTCAAAACAATTTCCCTCAAGTGCACCGACGAGTGAGTCGAAACTCATTATAATATGCAAAACTGTTCTCCACTCACAGCAGTGGGCGTTTACTTCCAAGTCTTCAGTGCGAGACGCCCATAAAAACACAGCGATTTTCAGCTAGGCTCAAAACTATGGTAGAAAATAGCCTATTACTTCTTCATTTGGATAATTTTGAATGTAAAAACCAAGCGAACGTCATAAGTTGACCTCAGACAACAATATAATAAAATTTAAAAAGTCAGTTCATTACCCCTTTAATATATCATCCCATATGCCAAAAACAAGCATGTTGGGCTTCCCCAGTAAAGCCAGTGAAGACCGTTCTCAGTGATGCACATACAGTGAAACATCTCCATAGTAAATGGAGGTTCGGCCGTCGAGTCCCACTGAACACCTCATGATGAAGGTGAGCGCTGACTGTGAGGCCGCACTGGTGCTCTGACTGCACACACACTGCAGAAGCCTGGAGCTTCTCCTCTTCAAATAACAGCTGCTAATAATATGCTGTATATTTTTTAGATCATGAATAGTACATATTTTTACCATTCACGACTCTCGCGATGCTCTCCGCCATTTTGAAAAGGTCAAAGGTTATCTCATCTCGGCAATCCATGCATCAAAATGCATATAATACGAGCTGCCCAGTGGAAAATACCACAAGAGGGTGTGTTCATGTGCATTTCCACATCGGCTTTTGGTATTTACCATAATTACCTATCAAGACCTTGGCTGTGTCCAAAATCACCTCCATACCCTCATCCACTTTTCCCTACTACATTACTCAACTAATATAGTCCACTTGAAGGAGTGAGTGAAATTATCCTGAACTCTGTCATGGAAACTAGCTAATAAACCTTAATTAGTAATCAACTAATATGATATGATATTACGCTGTACCCACATTGGACCAGCAGTTTGGAGAATGCATGGATGTATGATTCAGCCGCAGGAACACATTCGACGAGTGGCGCTCACAGTGCATGATGGGATTTTCTCTAACCGTTGAGAGTACATAAGTTGAACACTCTTTATTGCAGTGCATTGTGGGATTGAATGAGTGACCTTTAGGAACAGTATTGGACACCCCTGCCATAGAAGAACCAATTCTGGTTCCCCAAAGAACCTTTCAGTTTTTAAAATAACTATTTTCTTAGTGTGAAGAACCTTTTGTGGAATGGAAAGACTCCATCAATGGTTTTTCATGGAGCCGTCGATACCAATAAAGAACCTTTATTTTTTAAGAGTGAAGGGTAAGGTTGTAAACAAAGCTGCTTATAGATGAAGAAATATTTAACGATTAGTTTTTCGGCGCTAGTAGCGTTCTTCTATGATCAGAGCATCTTACAAGACTAACATAAGAACTGTAATAGAAGAAGTGAATCTGTAGATACAGAAACAGATCCCGCGCTGGACCTGACAGAAGATCACCTGAAGGTGCAGAGATGCATATAGTGAGTCTGTTATTAATCCACATCTCCACCTTGAAAATCGTTGACCTTTGAACTCAGTTTGCTAACACACATGTTAGCATTCGACTGGAAGTCCAAAACCACCTTCTGCAACTCCATTATTGTTTAAATAAATTAGCAAACAAAATATTTACATTAATCTATCTAGTCTAGTTTAAACGGATTAGCAGACAAAAACCACAAGGTCTAAACTAGAGTTTGATCAGATCAAGTGTGGATGACAATAGTTAAAGTCTGAGTTACAATTGGACTGCATTGATAATAGCAGTTTTAACAGGAACATATTTCTTGAATCCAGCTCTAGATTACTTAGTTGGGAAACCTAATAGTATGACCAGTTTATTTTTTATCAGTTTTTGTCATTTACCCCCGGCTACACAGACAAGGCTTACGTCTAAAATGCATGTTTGAGCTTAAATGTCATTGTTTCTATCAAGATGAACACAGTAGCCTAATGTTTTTTTTTATATATAGTTTAACTAAGGCCTAATCTAAGCCCTGTGAAACCCTTTAACTAAAGATATAAAGATAAAATGATAGTATTAAATGTGTCTGCATCATTCATGTTTTGTGAGCCTGTGTTAGCGTCAGTGATATCAACTGTTAAATCCCACATATTTTAAGACTGGACTATAGTATATAGAATATAATTCAGTATATTTTAGTTTAGTATACATTATTGTACCTGTGTTGTTCTGAATAGTTCAGTTAATATATTTGTATAATAGTTCAGTATAAGTGGTTCATTATTGTGTTGTTCTAAACTAAACTATTTAGATTAAGTTAGTTCAGATAAAAAAATGGTTATGTTGTGGTTGTGTACAGCAGTTTAGTAACATAGTTCAATATAGTTTAAACAGCACAGAATGTCCACATAACCAGAAATCATTTACAAAACAGGACGTTCTCAGTGTCCCAAAATACTGTTTTCATAACTTAAAGGGAAGGTTAGCAAAACGTTCTCGTGATGTGTGCTTGTGAGCTGGTCTGTTGTTTAATTTAGTAGGCTATAGGCTACAACAGTTGAGCCAGTGTTTGCTGTTCAGTTCAGTAGTCCAGCAAGTATAGCTAGTTGTATGTTCACCTTCATGACTAGAGAGCAATGCAGACAGGCATATAACACAGTCACATTTCGCCGTCTCCTCTCAAAAAAACCACACGCAACACTCGAGAGTTTGATTGTTTGTATTTACTGAGATGTTTATGCGCATTTTGGAAGGTTCGGTCGCGCGCAGGAATATATTCTTAGTAACAAACACCGAAATGGCGATGTTTTACGCCCTCGGAGCACGTCGCCGCGCATTAAAAGCCGCACAGACAGGTTTCAGACGAGGCTGGAGGGTCCGTGAACGTGCGCGATATCGTCGAGATTCGTCAGAATTGTTTCAGCGCAAAACTTTCGTTATTGTCATGATGGGCGAGTGTGAAGCGCGACGGCTGTGCGCATGCGCACTGGAGTCCGCCTGGCCAATTTCTCAGTACTCGTGGGAGAATTTGGGTAAGAAACAGACAAATTAAAACAATCGCACGCTAGGATAAACTGCTTGTGTAGCATTGTATGCTGTATAATAAACCGTGTTAGACTTTCGCTGGAGGTTTAATGCGACGGAATAATAATGAAAGTTAGATATAAAGTAGAAAACGCCTGGACGTGTCATCAATAATATGAGCAGCAGGAAGAGAGAGAGAGAGAGAGAGAGAGAGAGAGTATGAAATAAAGAATAACGCTAATGAATGACACTCAAAATAGACGCAGTCGATAGAAAGAATCAAAGTGTGTATTTGTGGCTGTTAGCAGGAATAAAGCGTGTATTTATGAGTGTGTGTAGAATAAAGCAGGAGTGCATTCGCTCCTGTACATGGCAGGAACTGACCGTGCGAAACAAAACATGTCTCGATCAGCTCTGCGTGGATCTGCTCAATCATTCACTTTAAATGTCATTGATCAGCAATAATCACGCGATTCGCCAGGCCTGTGTCTTTCAATTATATAGTGAATATAATTCCTGTTCCGCCATTTTGAGAAACTGCCTTTAAAACACATTAAAGAAAAGTGTTTTAATATCTGATACTGCGCCGTCTGAAATATGTCATCACTGCTCGTCTTCGTCGATATTTGAGGAAAAACAACACCGTCGAGATGAATCATTTCACCCCATTCAGTGTTAACTATTTAATATAATAGAGCTGAATACAAGCAAACGCGTTTAATAGAAAAAAAAACTGGTGCGTCAAAACTCATGTATTTAATTTTAATTCGTTTTTCATTAAAAAAAACCAACATTTTATTTATATCATCATCGTCGTCGTCTACAAATTTAATCTAAAAATAATTATGAACAACTGTTATCTGAGTAGATCGTAGATTTTCATGCCGCATTGTACTTCACGTTAAAAAAAGTAAAGCATCTGCACGGGTATTTTAAATATTCGTTTAATAAAATGAACTTATGCAACCTAGTAAATACCAACTGCGGCAGCGAAAATATATCTGACGTGCAGATATACCATAATTATTTAACACTGACTTAAGAATTGCATGCTAAACGATGTTAAAATGAATTAAAACACGCGATGCGTACAGAAAATGTTGTAATATGTGTCAATATTGCTAGCATTTCTTTTGATTTCATTGTTGAAAGTTTCCAGTAGCGCCGCGGCAGAGCGACCCCTGTCGGTAACCGACGGAACACACACACACACACGCCGTAGGCCTCATGCGCCACTCACACACACACTCCTGCTAAACTGGCTTTAGTTAGCAGACACACTGTGTGTGTATGTTCATAGTCTATTTATGTGTCCTTCTTGCTACTTAAGCTATAGAAACAACTGTGTTGGTTTATGGTTGTTCAGGAGTGACTTTTAGGCTAAAGGTTTTGAAGAACAGATAAGAAGTCTTCCTCTAATATTTTTTATGATACAGTATATAAATGAAAGTGAGCTTACAAATGCATTGTTTGCTGTCTAAATGCACAAAACAGTGTAATTCATGAGGTGACAGCTAGTAAACCAGTTCTGGACTAAAACAATGTAGTAATTGTTTGCTGGATAACCTTTAAAATAATCACAAGTGTTGTTTTAAATGATTTTTCATTAGTATACGGATGAATCCCACAATCCTTGTAAAGAATAGGTCCGGGCTGCATTTTATCCCAATTAGTGTGCGTGTGAATGATTTTCAGTGGTGTATTATTGTGTAAGTGTGTGTGCTGTTTCAGGTTAGCCGTGTGTGTGTGTGTGTGTGATGGAGTCGTCGGGCCCGAGCGCAGCTCCAGAGTTTGATGTGTACGAAGCCATGGACTGGAAGGACGGAGTGGGAACTCTTCCCGGCAGCGAGCTCAAGGTGAGGGAACACACACACACAACCTAAAAACTGCATTCCCAGCATGCAATAGCCCCGTTATCGCATGTCTCGGTTAACTACTGACCCGATATAATCCGGCGGGCTATGAGGAACACACTTCCAGTTCTAGCCAAAATAACCTTGAATTTGGTTACGTGTCGCTTATGCCTAAATAACTTGCGAGATGTTTAATATTGTCTTGTAGGCAAAGCAAACAGTGATTTCAAGGTGTTTGGTTTCATTTATTTGTATCTAATTGATGATTCGTCTATTCTTGGGCTATTAGACGTCTATTAAATTTTCACTGACGGCCCAAACTTTACCTTGTTTTAGTCTAGACGTCTATTAGACGTCTTTTAAACGCACAATTGCTTGCTAGTTGTGTTCATCCAGCAGTGTGTGAGCATCTCTGTTGTGTGTGTTTCAGTTCCGGGTGAATGAGTTTGGGGTCCTGGAGGTCATAACGGACGAGATGGAGGAGGAGAGGGGCAAGAAAGCTCACGCCACCACCACATGGAGCGTCCCCACGGCACACGAGGGTAAACACACAATAATACACTCACGTTTGGTGTTCAGTGCCCTTTCCCGAAGCCACTTTACCCCGCAGATCTACACTACATTGCCCTCTTAAAAGAGTAGTTCACTTCAATATTAACATTTCCTGATAATTTACTCACCCCCACGTCATCCAAGATGTTCATGTCTTTCTTTCTTCAGTCGAAAAGAGATTAAGGTTTTTGAGGAAAACATTCCAGGATTGTTCTCCATATAATGGACTTCAATGGGGTCCAACGGGTCGAAGGTCCAGATGTTAGTTTCAGTCTCGACACATTCCAGCTGAGGAATAAGAGTCTTATCTTGAGAAACCAGCGGACATTTTATAACGAAATAAACATTTATACACTTTTAATCACAAATGCCCATCTTGCAGTAGATCTGTGATGCGACACACATTGCGTAATCAGGTTGAAAGGTCACGCTTGTTCCGGTTCAGAAATTTAGCGTAGGGCGAAAAACTACAAAATCGACCGACATCGTTGATTTAACTTTTATTTATTTATTGTACCCTGATTGGACCCCATTGAAGTCCATTATATGGTGAAAAATCTTGGAATGTTTTCCTCAAAAACCTTTATTTCTCTTCAACTGAAGAAAGAAAGACATGTAGGGGGAGTAAAATGATTTTTACAGGACTTTGTAATTCTGAAGTGAGCTAGTCTTTTAAAGTGGTAAAAATGAGTGGATGCAGTTCACAAGTGGGCTGGAATGAATTGTGAGATTTTAATTTGTCTTAAAGGGATACTCCACCGTTTTTCATGTTAAAGGAGTAGTTCACTTTTAAAAAAACGTTTTGCTGATAATTTACTCACCCCCATGTCATCCAAGATGTCCACGTCTTTCTTTCTTCAGTCGAAAAGAAATTAAGGTTTTTGATGAAAACATTCCAGGATTTTTCTCCATATAATGGACTTCAATGGGGACCAAACGGTTCAAGGTCCAAATGACAGTTTCAGTACAAACTGCAAACTGTTCAAAGGGTTTTAAACGATTCCAGACGATGAATAAGGGTCTTATCAAGCGAAACGATCGCTCATTTAATAAATAAATAACAAAGTTTAAGTTTTATAAGCTCAAATACTCGCCTTGCTCTGTTCTGTGTGACTCTCCTGTTCGAACTCGTTCATCAAAATGAACTAAACTTTTTTTCTTGTCATTTGGTTCATTCAACGAACAAAATGAACGAATTGACTCGTAAAAATTTTATTTTTTTTGATAAAGTGTTTTTTGATAAAGAGTCACGAACAAGTGTCACAGAACAGAGCAAGGCGAGCATTTGAGCTTATAAAACTTAAACTTTGTTATTTATTTATTAAATGAGAGATCGTTTCGCTTGATAAGACCCTTATTCATCGTCTGGTGTCGTTTAAAGCCCTTTGAAGCTGCACTGAAACTGTCTTTTGGACCTTGAACCGTTTGGTTCCCATTGAAGTCCATTATATGGAGAAAATCCTGGAATGTTTTCATCAAAAACATAATTTCTTTTCGACTGAGGAAAGAAAGACATGGACATCTTGGATGACATGGGGGTGAATAAATTATCAGTAAACGTTTTTTAAAAAGTGAACTACTCAATTAAACTATGTTACAGTACTCTTGTAACTGTATTTAAATAGAGAAAACGTGAGGTGTTTGGTCACTTCTCTGCTTGGATCCTAACGAATGAACTGGGTTAAGCTAATTGCTAACAAAATGTCTCGAGAGAGGTGTGTATTAACTCTTAGTTAAGGGAATAACATAGTTTAGGTGGAGTATCCCTTTAAAGAAATTGCTAAATTACACAGTAATGTCATTAAATGAATCTGGCAGTGACTTCAGCTGATCGCGTTAGTGCAGGTGAACAGATTCAACACGTTTACTCTGGTACTGTGAACTCTTGGGTTACCGTATCAATTCAATCACCTGATTCATTACATAAATGAAGGGATGTTCAGGTAAAGGTCTATTTCAAGAACAAACATTAATACCTAAACAGGAACGGTATGCAAAAACAGGTATGCTTGGGCAATCTGTCCTTTTTAGGGTCACATCTTGTGACATCACATCCTGTTATGGCCCGTGTTGCGTTCATATTTAGGTCGAACCGCACCAGAGTTCATTTAGAAGTGGACTGTGACCAATTTTTAACAGTGGTCCCCTTTTTTTGTTTCGGATGACAGCGTTAACACTTTATCAATGTCCTAACATGCCTTTGTTACATCAAAGAGCTGATTTAACCCTCTGTTTAGACAAATTAATGTATTTAGGTCGATTCAGTGATGATGAATAATATTTTTGAAAACCATTTAGATGCAAGATGTGTAAGTATGATGTTAAATTCACATAAAGAAAACTTAGTATACATGTAAGTTCACTTGTAGTGTAGTTCACATAGTCGCAATAGAAAAGAAAAACTTAAAGTTTACTGCTGTTACACCTAAAGTACAGTTAAAATACTTGTATAAACTAAAAAGTGGGACAATTTAGTCCCAGGAAGGAATGAAAATAGTACACACAATTATACTGCTAGTATGCTGATTTTAGGTAGTAAGCATATATACAAGTATGAAAATATATTTGAGCTCAACACTAGATCGACACTGGAGCAGATGTAGAGGTATACATCAAAAACAGTCATTGTGTAGATAAAGCTTTCTAATTGTTCAGTGTTTGCTGAGATTTATTTCAGAAAATCTTTTAAGAAATACTTAATTCTGTGTTGTTTTAAATGAATCTCACAATAACTGTCATGTACATACAAACAAACAGCATGATAGCTTCTACATCAACATTTAGCTTTGCTCCTAATAAGGATGCAGGATATATCGGCTCCCATATCGGTATCGGCCGATATACGTTCATTTTTAACGTTATCGTTATCGGCCCAATAATAAAATTTGGCTGATATATTAAAGCCGATGAATAATTGATTATTTCCTTCAGCTGAGACTCTTCAGATGTTCTCTGTTCAACATGATGGGTGTAAATTGCTTGAAATATGATTGAAATCTCTTCAAAAAACATGTGAAGCGCAAACCTGTCATATCGGCTACATAAAATTACCATCATTATAATCGTGCGCTTGGGATATGTCTTTAATAGTGAAACTTTTGTTTTTGTAATCAGGCTCTCAAAAATTATATAAAAAAAACCCTGTATTTAAATTTATTGGCCGATATATCGGTTATCGGCTTTCAAATATAAAGAATTATCGGTTATCGCTATCGGCCCAATAATAAAATTTGGCTGATATATTAAAGCCGATGAATAATTGATTATTTCCTTCAGCTGAGACTCTTCAGATGTTCACTGTTCAACATGATGGGTGTAAATTGCTTGAAATATGATTGAAATCT